AGAACTTAAGGCTTTTTCAGATCCTGTGTAACCAAATCCACCGTATCATTCAGCAATGGGCCTATATTTTCCGTAGTCTTCCTTTGGTTTCCTATGTACTTCTTGTTGTCTTCGACATCCCTTGGCATGTATAGCTGAATTTGCCAAATTTCACAGTGGTGTCATCAACAAAACATCAATTTTGCCTCTGCAGCACATTTTAAAAGTTCCCTTAAAAGGAATTCCCATTGTAAAAATTTGAAACAGTAAACCACTAAGTAACTAATTCTAGAAAAATATTAAACAACTTATTTTCCAAATTATGATCACATAAAGGAAAACAATAAAGAAAAATGAACAAAAGTAATACTTTGAAAAGTTTTTTTCACTTGTCTAAATAAAACATATGGAAAAGAACACAGTGTTTTGAACATCGTGGTCTGAAATTTCTACAATATTCAAGCACACTTTGTTTCTAAATGTGTAAAGCTCCAGCTGGTTTTCATACAAGTTGCATCTGTGTACTTGAGAGCAGAATTTGGCACATATTTAAAAAAAAAAAAGAATTTTAGTAAAAGACAAAAGTTCTAGTGTTTAACCTGCAGATCACATTTTGATTACCTGACTGAATTAATTAATGATTACTGATATAATTAATTACTCATATGATAGTGTATTGTTACTAGTGTTTGAAGTTCATATGAAACTTCATGCATCACAAGACCTAGTAAGACCTGGATAACCTAATCTTGTCTGAAATTACTGTGCTGTGGTTTCATGATTATGCTTATTAAGTTCCTAGTTAGCCAAAGACTGCAAACCAAAAGATCAACATTTAAGAAATTCCCCAATGGACAATTATGACATCCTTCAATGATAGTAAAGCAGACATCATATCTATTTTTATATCATTTTAGAAATGTCTACTTGTAGAAGTATGCCTGCACAGCAACATTTACAGGCTGGTATGCCACTACAGCCACATTCTGGATTTGGCCTTCTGTGGCCACTTTTTGCTTGGAGCAGCAGTGAAGGTTTGAAGCAAACCAATCTGACAGTCCTCAGTTGCCACCTGATGGTTTGTTTCACTAAGTAGTTTTGG